CCCCCCGCACAGCGCGGGGCAGTGGGGGGCAGTGAGGATCGCCCCCCAGCTGGGCAGGAACCAGGGAGTTGGGGCTTTTTTTCCCCAAAGTGCCGGGAGCTGGGACAGGCAGGGCAGCCATTGCCAGGGCTGGGAGAGCGGGCGGGGGGTGGGCCTGTGTAATTCGACCAATTCATTTCGGGACAGTGCTTTGAATCACCGAATCAAATCAATGTCCCCCGAATCGGCCAAATCAGAAGCCAATATTAGCCGTTTTGCACAGGCCTACTGCATGGCCCTCTTCCCTTTTCAAAATAAAAACTCTCTCCCCCAGTGCATTATGTCCTATTTGTATATATGTTATGTGTAAAGAAGGACACTACAGCCCTCAAGAACTTGAGAGAAAATCAGTGGACAGAATTTGAATCCAAATACAGTTGCAGTTTGCACATCAGAAAACAGTGAGGGCTATATGATAAAATAAAGAAAAACACTCACTGTGTTTGCTGCTCCACTTTATTGATGCACTCCTTAGCAACCCTGAAGGTTCTGTATTTTGGAATTTGTCATGCAGAAATGCAGAACTATCTGTAATGTGTTTTTGAATAAAAGCCAGCAATCGTAAAGTATGTACTTATATCAGCAACAGCACATTTTGTTGGAGGATGGGGCATCCTGTGCCAAATACAATCTGCTTCATGACCATTCTAGCCAGCAGTACAGAATCTCAGAGATTTTGCCAGGGAATCTGGGGCTTAAGTATCTCAGAAATTCCAGGGGATTATTTGTGTTGACTAAAGGTACTTTCAAGGCAAATTATTGTATATTACCTACTAAACATCTGGAATGAAAATCTGCTCTCACTGAAGTCAATGGCACAAAAAAACCAAAAAAACATGCTGAATAATGGATTTAATAGGAAGCAGAAATTAATTGAAATTGCAGAATTTGGATCCAGTTCCAGGTTTCAAACATCCCTAAATTGAGGGGTGTTTGAATTTGAATTTTGGTTCAGCCAGTTATAATGATACAGACCATTTGCAGCATAATGATCAAGAAGGAGGTTTCAGTTTTAACCACTCCTAATTGTTTGAGGGTGTTCTGTGATCTGGGGTTTGGTTCAGGTCCAATTCTACGATAAGGAAGGGAAAAAGCGAATCATTTCAAGAGATGCTAATGTGCTTGAGGGGAAATGGCAAGTTATACAAATAAATCTACTATACAAATTAAATCTAGAAAACCCTGTGAGACATTAAAGTTAGTATGCATGCATAAATCTAATGTGAAATAATGTCGTACTCCCATATTAGTAAAAATGAGATTGCATTTTTAAAGTTTATCCTTGCTGTTCCTTTAAACAAAATCTAAATTATTACTTTGGGCAGAATATGCTACCATCTTTCCAAATAACAGGTTCTAAAGAATAAAGTATAAAACCCCTCAGAACCAATACAACATCCAAAAAGCACACTCATTTCTGGTCATAGAAACTGTAACAGTCCAAAGAATTTAGGCAATGTACTTATCAGTGAATTCTTTATTTTGTTCCTGCATGTGAGGATGTTTTATTGCCACTGTGTATGTTGGCATTTTTCTTGTGACTGGCCTTATATGCCTACTGGGTCAAATCGGATCTCTAGACCCAGAGTGACATTGTCAAATACACCTACTTGAGAAAGAAGTTTGCATCCTATTGAAAGTCAGAGTCTTCAAGATTGGGCCTAAAATGTGTAGTCAGCATGTGAGAGAGATGCTTCTTATGTAGTACAGCAACGTAGTCATGCATACGTATCAATTTTTTTTTACATAGGATAATGGTTTCATAATATTTTATGGCCTCCATCAGTTTGAATTATTTTGATTAGAAGTGTTTTTGAAAGATAGTACTAGCAACCACTGTATTTCAAAGAGCCCACTTTTTTCCACCCATTATGAATCTCACGTTCAGAGAGGCTGTCATTTGACTAGAGGGTCTTGATCCAGTGGATGAGGCATATTTTAACAATCAGAAAAGACCTACATTTTAATCCTGATCCTGTGACCTTAAGTAATTCTGCGTAAGTAACTCAACTCGGTGAGACCAGGACTGAGCCTTACATAAAGTATGTAAAAAGTGATATACCAAGATGGAACAAGAACCCAAGGACTCCCCCTCACTTTCTTCCCTCTGCTTAATCTACAAGACCACATGGTTTTGGGAGTACCCTAGTTTCTCCTCTCTGATTTTCAGAGTTCCTGAATTTGAACTGCCATCTGAAAGTAGTGTTTGGCAGGATCCTGAGAGTAGAAGAATTCTAAGTAAAATCATGTGAAATTTATCTTACTAAAAACATTTCAATTTCAGAAAAAGTTTCACAAACCCAATATAGTTTTATGCACACACTCTCTCTCTCTCTCTCTCTCTCTCTCTCTCTCTATCTCTCTCTCTAATGAGAAATATGCTACATATATCTTGTCTAATTATTAAAATATTTAATGATGGGGATTTTGTCATAAAAGGAAATGTAACTGATGTGTGTTTTCTCAGAATGGATCATATGTGCATGCTGAGATCATTAGAAAAAAACATGAGCAAAACTTGTGTGATCCAATACATCTTTGGTGGCAAAGGGGCAATAATTAATGTTTAAAGTCTGTATTTTTTGCTGTTATTTTAGGCAGCAAACTGATAATGCAGCTTCTCCTGCAGAGAGTGATTGTCTTGACAAACAAACACAAAAGGTACTATTAAGTTTAGTTTCTAAGATACTATGGCTTCATAACTTCAGATTCCTAAGTCCACAGTTCTGCAGTGTGTTCGTGGCTGTTTGGCGTAGCCATCTGAACATGAAACCGTTAGTGATGTTTTGAAGTCTTTGAGACAAAAGCCTGCTTGCTAAGAACTTTAGCTCTGTAGAAAGACAGGGAGGTACAGTGAATAAGAGAATCAAAAGGCTGGAAATTTGCTGCTGAGAATAAATGCTAGCTGCTCCCTGAGGTGATTTGTCTGTGCACTTCACTTTCTACAGATGTTAGAGCCTCTTTTTTAGTAAGGACCTGAGGTTCTTTGGTAGCACTTTGATATCCTGCTCGAATTCAATATGTGAAATGGAGGAGTCGCTCTGTGACTTGGAGCACAGCAGAGTCTTTGAAGTCTGATCCAATTTTTGCTGCTTACCATTTGATGTTGAAAGGATGAAATGAAGAAAATGTACAGTTTTTGCCAGTAACTCTGCTGAGCATATGTAAGATTAAAAAAACAAAATCCCTTGGATGATGTACTTAGAAATGTTAAGCAGATTAATACCTTCCTATAGCTTTTTTCTAAGGATACAAATTAACTATGAGAGGAAATCAGCATACAGTGCATGCTGTGATTAAGTGCATGGGGACAGGGGCAAATAAGTTAAAGGAAAAAAATAAACAAATGTTTATGACACAAGATACTAAGTCACTGTTGCTAAAAGCAACAAGAATCTTGTGTAACTTTAATCTAGCATGAGAGATTTCCAATGAGTAGTACAAAATATACATTTGCTTTCTGTGAGATCATGGTTAAAAGTTGTCCTCACTGAATGGAGTAGATACACTATTTTATGTTTCTGAAACAATATTCTTTATTCAAAAAGGATTCAGATAAGAGTCCCACATCTCAGTTTCAACTAAAGCATTTGCTCCAACCAAAAGATTCACAGTCAGTAAGCCAATCCCACTCAGTTGCAGATCGATTCATAAGTCCCCTGGGATCCCATAAAAAACAAGGTAAGAAATGTATTCAAGTAATGAAAATCTTTTAATATTCATATGATACATATTGTCTGCATGCAAGTTTGTTCACATATTGATGAGCTCTTTTAACAGATCCCTGGAAGACAGGAAATGTAAAGTAAATACAATTAGTCAACATGTGTTATTGCAAATATTAAAATCCCATCAGTACGATAGAGTATGGAGGCAGGAGTATACTGTGTTTTTTAAAAAAGGCATTCTGCTAAAAGCATGATCAATGATCTTGAAGCATCTGTTTAATGAAACAAATTTGACATCACACTGCTTTATATCTTCTGGCTGCAAGCATGACAAAGTGGAAGTCAGTTATGAAACCTTATATGTTTGGCAGAGTGGAGACAACTGGTGCGTTTGCATTTAGAGAAGTCCATTCTTCAACCCAGTGAAGTCTGCAATGAATAACAACCCAATGTGGTTATTACGTGGTTTTATAATGTATTCTCTTTCTTGCTCCACAGAATCTGTTTTCTGTTTTAATCAGGTTCTCCTCTCTTATCCTCCTCAGAAACAGTATCAGAAATTATTTATCAGAGGGATTCTGCCCATTGTTGTTCTGGTGCATCTGCAGATCCCTGAATGCTGGGTTATGTGTAGCTCCATAAATTAATACCTACAGTTCAAGATAGAAAAGTTTGATAATATATACCATTTCATTTAACCCCAACATTAAATTATAATGTGCAAATGTCCAAGTCATGCCTGAAAATGAGGCTTTATGAGTTGAAATGTTGTATGTATGTTAAATATTGACACATTTAATTGCAGCAACACATTATTATGTACACTTTCCCTAGAGGGCCAGTGCAAACATTTTCCTGCACACGTATGCTCCCCATACACATGCTTATACAGAGTCTTATTAAATTTTTCACATACCTATGTACTTGCTCAGTTTTATGTATCTGTAGGATCAGGACTTGTATTACAAAACCATAAACAGGCTTAGTGTTTTTCATTCTTTTTAGATGGACAGTGTTTCCACTGCACAGACCAAATCTTACTAAACACAACAGGTTAGAAAATTCATCATACTCTCATTATGAGTTTCAGTCCATATAGGATTTCAATTCATGGAATGGGACTGAGAGGGTGTGCACATTATGGTGGAACTCTTTTAAATTAAAACCTGTTAAACAATAAACCTGTCAAATGAAAATATTTTCATTGCAACAACCCTTCTCAAGGAAAGCACTTGGGGCCCAGTTCTGTCACCCTTCCTCACACTGACTAGTCTGTTACCCTGCAAGTAGTCCCCTTGAAATCAATGACTTTATGTATGAAGTAAAGTTTTCCTCAAAGGGAGTAAAGGTGGCAGAATAAGACTCTTCACAAGTATGTTTTTCAGGGTCTATTTCCCAACAATTCAGACAATGCTTTTTAAAAAATAACTATGGCAGGAGAGCACCAATTAAACACCTGACTTTGCAGAAGAGATAAGTGCAACATTCATTTGATCTATTAAAGAAATAAATGTGAAAAGAACAAGTATGCAGCCACAAAGAAATAAGAATTTCTTAGTAGAGCCTTTAAGGTATTCAATATAGTCAATGGTATAAATCACTCTTTAAATGAATAACTGCTAAAGAAATAAACCTGTTGAAGAATAATAGCATCTTCCATTGCTTTTAAAAGCATAGCACTTCTGCAGTCAGAAAGTCAAATATTTTCACACCCCAGTGAATCTGCATTCACTCTTAGCATCTGATCTTTAGGTTGAAATAAATAGTGCCGTGGTACTTTTGAAAACCAAGATGAAATAGCAAATATAGAACATTATCTCTGGAGCAAGTTCAGTGTAAACATATTTATTTCATAGTGTTTGACTGTAATATATAAATTATTATCTACCATAAGCAATATACTAGGTCATTCAAAGAATATGCTTAATATTATTTTCCTGCTGAAACATTACTCTACAGCTTTTATAAATTGATTTTGAATCCTTTTTAAATTACACTGCTAATAGGACTAGCCCACCAGTCTAGCAGCAATGCTGTTAATTTAGAACACTATGGTAGAGAAAGGAACTTGGTAATGCTCTATAGTGACTCCTTATACATTTCTGAAGCAGGGCAGAAGCTGACGTAGGGGTACCTGTACTTGGCTACTCACTTAGAGGTCGTTGTTTTGACTTGAGATCTTAAGTGGGAGAAGCTTATAAATCAGTAGCATAACCAACGGTGGGCACCCACTTAGAAGGGGTGCAAAAATAGCAGCTGTTGCTCCAGCCACCCCAGCCCCTGCTGCCACTTAGAGCACAGGCCCTGACTGATGCACGTCTGTTATAAACAGAGTTCAAAAGTAGAAATAAGGATGATAAAACATGGTCACAGAATGATACAAGCTTGCAATTTTCTTCTGGAAGTTTGCCAGTGTGTTTATAATGCACAGTAGTCAATTATATTCTATAACCTGGGTACCTGATAGCTCAGGCTGTTCCCTCTTACCACAGGAGTAGAAAGGAAAAAATGAAGCTAAAAGATTCCCCGAATGAAAGACCCTCATTGACTTCCCCGGGATTTGGAACAGTCCCATAAAAGCATGTATTTCAAGCTATGGTCAAACAGCATGCAGTGAAAGGTGCATTCACACACATGCTAAAATGGCTCAAAGGTGTGGGGGGAGATTTTAAAAAACAGAAAGGGGGAGTAAGGAGCCCAATTCTACTGACTCTGAGTAGGAGCTGAGCACCCCCCTCTTCTTAGTGCCATTGAAACTCTCCCTGTAAAGCTCTGCTGTCTTACAGTACCCAGGGATTCCTGCTTGGCATCACAGAGTGACACAGAAGGGCTGTCACAGGGCCAAGAATCCTCCCTAGTGTCTTTTATGTGAATATTTCTCCCTGATAAATATCCCTTATCATCAGAGCTGGGAGGAGAGTCCAGTTAACATGTTAGCCATTAACTATTTAATCACAGTAATATCACATTGAAGAATACAAAATAGTAAGCAATGATACCATGCACACGCAGTTCTTATAGTCAAAGCAGTGACATTTCCTTGAAGACAGTCTGAGAAAGATCAGTATTTGAAAAGACAATGGAAATGAGTGCCTACAGGAAGAATGACCTAATATTTAGCCAGGCTTGGACCAAACATAAATGTTACTAAGGTTTTCTAGATGAAAAGGAAATATGTTTGTAAAAGGAAAAATAATATCTATATATTGACTAATAGATGCTGTAATTCCAAGTGCTAATGGAGACATTGGTACCTGAGCATCAGAAATCAAAAAGAATACAAGGGAAGGGTCTCTGTTCACAACAGGGAGCAAAGGAATGCATCTTTGGACAACATCTATCTTTTTATGCTATGCTCTTCCCCTTATTATCTTGATATAGAGGGTTTGTTAGAAATGTAGAAACTTACCGTGTCCTAAGATGTTCTGAGTGAAGCAGCCTGCAGCATTTGTAGTTCATCTCAGAAGTACTTTACTCATGCTTCCTCAAGTATTTGTAGAAGACAGAATTATCAACAGTGATCATTGGGTTTAGGTTCTTTGACGGTGGAGGTTCCTTGGATGTCCTGGCAAGTTAAAGTGACATAAGGTACTCAGTAGAAGTGAAAGTTAGGCTAATATGCATCTAGTGGCATACTCAACATCAGTAGACCCTTTTGAATATTTAATTTGCATCAGTCTTTTATTTAAAGGGTTTTTCCACCCTTTCTTCATACAATTTGACCACAGAATATGATATAATCCAGGCCTGCTCAACTGACAGGCCATGAGGTTTAATTTGAAATCCCAGATGCCACTCCCCACCCCTACCATCACTCCAGCTGCAGCAGCAGCCAGGGTCTCTAGGCTCCCTCTACCTCTTCTGGCTTCCATTTCCTGGCCCTGCCACAGAGGGCAGTGCAGTGTGGCACAGGACAGCCCTCAGGGCTGGGGGAGCCTGCGGTTGGGGAGGCTGAAGTGCTTGCATGCACACTGCAGTGAGGGGACATCCATGTGACATGAGGTCCAGGGGCCCCATGGTTTACAGTGGTGCAGCCTACACAGCATGCAGCTTCCAGTGGTATAGCCAATGAGGTGTGCAGCTCCAAGCCCCTTAGAAGCTGGACAGCCCTGATCTAACTGATGAATACTTGAACTGGTCGTAGAAACATGTTTGAGATTGTGGTATTCTGTTGCATCCAAAAAGAGCAAATATTTTCTCCTCAAGAGAGGTAATGAAATGCAGTAGGTAACTGCTTATGTACTAGATCACCAGTGAGGAGAAAGCTTCAGCCTTCCTCCTCCAACAGTACCAGAAATAGACTGCTAAGGGTTATTCTGTGAGTTAGCCTCATTCTCAAATACTGCATGATCCCCATGTGAATGGGACATGCAGCCTGTATTTTAAAATCTCTTGATTTTCTAAACTATTCTTTATTTAATTGTTTCATGTATCACTGGATTCACTAATGTAACTGTAGCTAAGACACTGTTTTCTGTGTATTGCTCTTTAAGTTAGAGGCTTAAATTAGAGGGCTGTGAGACCATTAAAGCTGAGGTCTTACAGTGAGACTGACAATATGTTTTCTTTCTCACATCCTACATTGCTTTCTATAACATCAAGTGAGTCATTTAGATTAAGAGTTAATGTTTTTCTCTTTGCAGACAGAAAACATAACAGAACCTGATGGAATTGCCATAGCTAAGCTATCTGCTGGGAGCTGAATTTGCTGTGTTTGATTCCTGATACAAGATCTGGAAAGCAGATGGAATTATCCTTAGATTACCTGACCCTGCAGACTTGCACTTCAGCAAATTCCAGTTGAAAACACGGAAGCTTTGCTGAGCAGAGTCTGAAGGATGAGGCCATGAAGAGTATTATTACCCTTGTCTTGCCATTTGCAGATTATTGGATTGCCTTAATTGGCATAGGCAAAAAAATTCTGTAAGGGTTCCAGGCAAAGGATATAGTGAAGAAAGAAATTGTTTTATGAAAACAAGGGCCATTGTTTTCATTGACTTCTATTTAATCTGGCATTCAAGTGATATTTTGAAGAGTTAGAAGATGACTACACAGTCCGGTGGGTGGCGAATTGGCTGGAGGGTCGCACCCAGAGAGTCGTGGTGGATGGGTCAGCTTCGACCTGGAAGGGTGTGGGCGGTGGCGTCCCGCAGGGCTCGGTCCTTGGACCGATACTCTTTAATGTCTTCATCAGCGACTTGGACGAGGGAGTGAAATGTACTCTGTCCAAGTTTGCGGATGACACAAAGCTATGGGGAGAAGTGGACACGCTGGAGGGCAGGGAACAGCTGCAAGCAGACCTGGACAGGTTGGACAAGTGGGCAGAAAACAACAGAATGCAGTTCAACAAGGAGAAATGCAAAGTGCTGCACCTAGGGAGGAAAAATGTCCAGCACACCTACAGCCTAGGGAATGACCTGCTGGGTGGCACGGAAGTGGAAAGGGATCTTGGAGTCCTAGTGGACTCCAAGATGAACACGAGTCGGCAGTGTGACGAAGCCATCAGAAAAGCCAATGGCACTTTATCGTGCATCAGCAGATGCATGACGAATAGATCCAAGGAGGTGATACTTCCCCTCTATCGGGTGCTGGTCAGACCGCAGTTGGAGTACTGCGTGCAGTTCTGGGCGCCGCACTTCAAGAGGGATGCGGATAACCTGGAGAGGGTCCAGAGAAGGGCCACTCATATGGTTAAGGGCCTGC